TATGGAGCCATCTGTATCTTCTTGGTTGCAGGTCCATCTCTCTGATGGAGTTTCCTGGTGGCTGTGTTGGCATTTGTGTTGGCCTCTTGTATATTCTGCTCCTTTTATATACAATCTTACCTTTTATCTATATATATATATATATATATGTTTATGAAGAAAAATATTAAAATCTAACGAAAATATCTTACCCATCAATTTTGAACAAGTTATTTTACACTCCTTGACTGAGGAACTCGACCTCAACCTTGACTTAAATCTTTGCCAAACACTAAAAAATAAAATATATATATATTTTACCTGAAAAAAAAAAAAATTTATAAAGTTAAAATTTTGTATGAAAAATCATTTATAGTAAGGCTTCATTTGTTTCGAGAGAGCCACACTGTAAATGATTTTTTATACAAAATTTTGACTTTATAATCTTCATACAATCCTCTTTCAAATGGTTAAATTTGCTCTTCAGTATTTCTACAAAACCATGAAAAAATGACCCGAGTACTCATGAAAATTGTCATCAGATAGACCTCATGGTAGAATTACTCTTTCTTATATCTGTTTCACGCATACAAATTTGTCTCACTCCAACTCAAACTCTTATTATTATTATTTTTTAATTTATGAGAAAATACCTTTAAGGTTTCAATCAATTTCACTCAATGGCTGGTCAACACGATTTTGGACAATGACAACCTGAGTTTCAAATGACATATTTGCCCCTTAATATTTTATTCAATTGATTCAAAAAAATACCAGGTATGTTAAATGGCCAACTCCCCTTCTGTAATCCATCTCTTTGTCATCCCCAAACACCATCATAACCACCACCACTCCCAGACACCTTGGCAACCATCGCCACCACCACCACAATAGAAAAATCAAAAATCAAAAATCAAAACAAGCCCAAACATAGCCATACACTACCCCCACCACCACCATAATCAGATACTACCACCACCAAAAAAAAAAAAAAAATACACCAAGCACCACCACAACCAGACACCACCTCAATAGAAAAAAGAAATAGAAACAACCCCAAACACCATCACTACAACCATCGGAAAAAATATAGATTGATTATCTTGGATTTCAATTTTGTTACATTCCACAAGGTACTCAATTTTGCTGAATGGTTCTCCTTCAGGTTTCATACAGCCTTTTAAAGGATTGAGACAGGGTTGTCCTCTCTCTCTCCTTCTTTTTACTTTGGTAGCTGATTAATTTTCTCAACTACTCAACACAATAGTGTGCAATGGGAAAATTAAGTTATCTTATACTGCTCTAAAGGCTCGTTCTATAATCTGTCACACTTTTTTTGCAAACGATCTGTTGATTACTTGCAAAGCCTCAATTTCAAATGCAAGATCTATTCAAGAGATATTTCAGATTTTTGGAGCTACCTCTGAACTTCAAATCAATTATAGTAAGAGTAGTGTCATCTTCTCTAAATCTGTTAGAAGGAAAAGAGCTGTCTTGGATTTACTTCAATGTAAAGAAGAAATGTTTCCTTTAAAATACCTGGGAATTCCTTTATGTTTCTCTGGGCTTAAGAGATCCCACTGTAATGTTCTTCTGGATAAAATTTCCAGAAAACTTAATGATTGGAGTACTCGTCTGTTATCACTAACAGGTAAAGTTAAATTGGTCAAGACTGCTTTTAACTCCTATTTGCTTGTATTGGAGCAGTGTTTTTCAATTACCAATTGTTGTCATTAATCAAATTCAAAAGCTGTGTAGAGACTTTATCTGGGGCAGCAGGGATAATTTAAAGAAGATGCATCTCATGAGCTGGGATTTAATGTGTAGACCAAAAGCTGAAGGAGGTCTGTGAATTCAAAAATTGAAGGATTTACAGGTTACATCTCAATGCGTTTTGGCTTGGGACTTCTTGTTAAGCAAGGACAGGCTTTGGGTATCTTGGTTTCACTCCAGGTATACTTTACATTCCACCTTCTGGAATGCAATTCCTAAGATTACTCATTTAATTTTGTAGAAGAACTTGCTTAGTGTTAGAGATTTAATGAAGAATAAGGTCAAATTTTCAGTTGGCACTGGTCATCTTTTCAAAATATTAACTGATCCTTGGTGTGAGGGTGAATCAATGTTGCAGAAATTTGGTCATAGAGTGGTTCGCAGGCTGGGGCTTTCCTGGGATTCTCTAGTGGATTGTCTTATAGTTAATGGACATTGGAATTTTAATTTGGTGCAAGATGACATTTTTAAACCTATATGTGATTTTTTACAATCACAGCCTATATCTGATAGGCCAGACAGATTAACTTGGGATGGAGGCAATTTTAGCTTTAAGATTGCTTGGCAGAGTTGTAGAGAAGTACATCCAGAGGTTGATTGGTATAAAGTTTGTTAGGGAAAAGCGAGACCACGCTGGTCTGTCCATGGAGTATTTTTATTTCAAGACAGGTTGCCATCTATGCATAATTTACAGAAGAGAAATGTGAGTTTGGCTTCAAGGTGTTCACTCTGTTTTCAAGCTATAGATATTAGAGATCATGTATTTGTGGATTGTATCTTTTCAAGGAATTTCTGGATGTGGTTGGATGATTCTGTAGGATGGAGAATGGTTTTTCCAAACATTACCACAGTGGATAGTTTATTGCACTGGTTTTTATATCAGTCAAGTAAACTGATGCACACTCTTTTTATTGCGGGCTTATGGGATATTTGGCAAGAAAGAAATAGACGATTGCATGGTTCTACATCTAGCACTTCTGCAGAAGTGGCTCGACACATTTTGTTTGAAGTCCTAGATATTTATCATGTCTCTATTCAAGATATTGTTTAGACTGGATTTTTGTGTTTTCTTCAGTATTGGAAATGGCCCTTTTATTTTATTGTTTGTTACATTTCCAGTATTGTTATGAGGGAATGCCCTCTGTGCGCCTATAATATTTTATCTTTTATTTATACAAACACTAATTATGAAGAAAAAAAAAAAGATATGGCCAACCCAACACCAACATAGCCTCCCGCCCCAAGCGTGAGAAGAATTTGAAGAACCATGTCCGTCTTCAACAGCAATGCTGATGCCTACTACGATAAGCTCCTCTCCGACTATAGGGGTATCACATCCATCGACCTATTCGATGCGTCCAAATTCCCCACCCGATTCGATGCGTTCTAGTGGAACCATTTTGGGTTCAGACAAGGAATTGAGACCCAGAAAGCCCTAGCAGTTGAGAACCATAAACAGGTTGCGGCAGCACCACCACCAGAGTCGCCGCTGTTGAGCATTTATTGCTCCGCCACCGCAGAGGCCAAGATTCGAGTCTACTGCCACCCCCACCACGAGGCACCCTAACTCGAACTCAATTCGTATACACATACATATACATACATTACCTCTTAAATCCCAATCTAAAACCTTATATATATATATATATATATCACTGCCACCCTCACCATTTTTACCACCATCATCTCCACCCATGACGATCTCAATCGAACACAATCGAATTGATGGAAAGGCAAGGCCAAGCCAAGCTTGATACTGATTATGGATGATTGCATGAAGTGGTAAATAATGGGTCAATTTGGTCCATTAAAATTAGTCAGAAAAGGGCATTCTGATCATTTCATGATCAAAAGTAAATGTTGACTAGCCAAAGGAAGATTAAGCCTTTTTACAGGTCAGAAGGGGGTATGGATGCAAGATTTTAAAACCCTAATGGGTGTCATTGTAAACAAAAACAAAACACTGACTTGCATCTAAATGACATTGATCAAAACATCATGTGTAAGTACAATTAACCCATTTATTTATTTATATTATTATTTATTTATTTTGTATAACGATAAAATACCACTTGATGAAGCAGTTTGGTAGTTGAATCCTGTCTTTTTGTCGGTTAGGAACCCAACGGTCTAAAATTGTCTAACAGTGGAGTTGAAGGTCTACCTGTTTTTTCGCGGGGCCTCTCATCAATTTGATCCATTCAAAACACCAAAGTCCCAAAATAAGCTCTCTGCATTGTCTTTTAATAAGAGTCTTTTGAGTCTCTATCTGTCTCTCTTTTACACTGCGCGTGGGAGAGAAGAGATTACAACTCCATCTCCTACGCCTGAATCTTGTTTGTCTGCAACAACAACAACAAAAAAATTTCTCAAACATTTCCAAAGTTTTATACACCAAATCATTTTCCTTATTTTCTAAATTATTTTTCTAATTCTCAGGTACCCATCTCTTATCTTGTCTTTCTAAATTAGTTTCATTTATGTTCTTTTAATGTAGATTTATGCTTGTATAAATATATGTGTGTGTCTGACTCTGAATAAATGTATGTATTTTATGCTGGTTTCAATCATGGTTTGTATCTTTGTCATCTTTATCATCTATTTATTGAACCCTATTCATATTTGGAGCTAGATGCATTACCAATTGTGGTTACTTATTTCTACATATTTGAGTGTATCCTCATTATTGGTCATTATGATGGACCCATCCTCACCATGTGAACTAGTAAATTACCCATGCAACTCACTGCATCACAATGCAAAACACTATCATCCTAAGAAAATAATTTATATCTTCGGCAATACATTATATTGTGTTACCATGTAACGAAATTATTAAATTAATATTTAAAATTTAAAATTGTTACATTAATAATTAAAATTATCATATTGATGATGTAAATACGTATAATAAAGAACGGATGAAAAAATATAAGAGATGGTCATGATTCTTTTCATTATTTAGTGTTTCTAACCGGATGCTTAGGAGAAAAAATTAGAGATAGATTTTACTTTTAAGGGTAAATTACATTTGTTTAATCTCCTTAAGACTACTATTACAAAACTTTAAGAATAATTATTCGGTACACGTGGAACCAGAAATTATAGTACGGTAAACTATGCGCTAACCATGGTCGTTTTTTTTTTTAAATGACTCATCTGAATATTTGGAATGCATTCTATTGTGTGAAATGCCATGCTTACCCTTATTTTATACTCGGTAGCAATGTTTTTTTTTATTGTATTTTATTTATCTAACAAAAAATAAAAGTGTGCAACGACCCCTCTCTCTCTCAAAAAACACGCACACACGTCTGTAGCTCTCTCTCTATGGCCACCGCACTGTTCTCAAACTTCAGATACTCCGACAGCCCCACCGTCGTCGGAGGAATCTGGGTCTGGACTGCTGTGGTCGGCAAAGCCATCTCATGGCTTCTCATCCACCAAACCACCTCCTACAATCCCTCAATTCTTCATGACTGTTCCATTCTACTCTCTCAATTTGAGATATATATGTATATATTCCGAATACTAGCCTACTAGGGATTTTATGGTTCCAATTTGGCTTTGTAATGAAATTATAAAATTGGGGTTCAATCAAATTGGTTTTTTTGCTCATATTAGGGTTTCCATTTCATGATAATGATGGATTTTGGTATGGGAATCTCGTCGACTGGATGGGTAAAGTCCTCGCCACTACAATTCGCATCAAATTTTCAATTACAGTAACTTTATGGATATTGGAACATTGGGAATTTTCAAATCTTGATTCCCTTCATATTGGTGGTCAGAAACTTAGGCCACTCGAGTCACAGATTATGCCTATATATGCCTCTCACTCTCTCTATATCTATATATGTGTCTATACGTATATATGTGTGCTGGTGATATCTAGGCAAGTCGGTTTGAATTGGTTGGTTTTGGAAGGAAAAGATAGAGTGAGATGATATCGGTGGCGATAGTGGCGGAGCTGTTGGAGGAGTACACGGTGCTGCTGGCGAGGGTGGTGGTGGAGCATCTATTCCACGAAGCACCATTGCCGTCTCCGAGGCGGGTCCGTTTCCTCATACTCCCCAATCTTCCCTTCCCCTTCCCCCTCATTCTCTCATTAGAGACCCTGCTGCTTGATTTTTTATTATGTAATTCGATTTGAATTTCGATTTGTTTGTATATAAATTGAGTTTTTTTCTTCTTTTTCCCTTTTGATTCCGTCGAAGAATATGTAATTAGCATGTATATCCCTTGACAATTTAGCGTTCACTAACTTTTAAATTGGTTAAAATATGAACTTTAGGGTGAATTTGAGGCTTACCATTAGCATATTTGCCACTATCTTGTTTTGAATTGTTCATCAGATTATTGTGCTTTGGTTATATGAATTTACTTTCTTATATGGGTTACTGTGTTCTTGTGTTTGTGCATGTCTCTGTGTGTATATCTATGCACATGTAATTCGTAATATACTACTATTAAATGCATGTTTAATATAGTTGATCTATTAATTATTTTACTTATTTTAAAATATACTAAATATTTATTTACATTGCTTTGATATTAATTTTTTATATGAAACTAAATAATTTACAAATTAAATTTATATTTAATATGTATGTGTAGTATCTAATTAACTATATAAAATATTAGTTAGATAATACATATAGTTTGTAAATTTTAAAATATTTGTTAGATAATACATATAGTTCATTTGAGTGGAAGAGTCATTTGTCCTAACAAAACTATATAAAATATTAGATAATACATATAGTTCATTTGAGTGGAAGAGTAATTTTGTCCTAACAAAACTGTGAAAATAAATAATTTACAAATTTAAATATGTATGTGTAGCATAAAAATTATATAAAATATTAGTTAGAAAATACATATTGTTCATTTGAGTGGAAGAGTAATTTTGTCTTAACAAAACTTTTAGTAGGATACTTATGTCATTTCAAATCACGTGTTAATGTTAAAGAGGCATTTTTACAATGTTAAAGGGCATATATGTAATTGCACAAGGTGTTACTCACACTCACACTTAACGGCAGGGGTGCTAATGGCACTGGGTGTGAATATCACAAGCCAAAAGTTTAATCTACTTGTAATTGAGACAAACCTCAGGATATGTCTGTACTTTAACCCTAACTTAATATATTATTTTGTATGAAGTGGCTGCTATTTAGAGCTTGTTTGTTGGAGTTTTTATCGTTCTAACAAGTAATGGCTGAAGTCCAGACTTTTATATGTATATACATCTTGTAAAAATATATATTTATGTATTGCTACCCTTGCCTTGGAATTTCTCAAATTCATTATAGTTACTTTGCATTATGGTCCAAATTTTATAGTTTGAGAGATATAGCAAATAGTCAAATTACGAATATATATACACCTACATAGAATTTCTTTTAAGATGGTTTGGACACGTGCAAAGTTGGCCACTAAGTACACCAGTTAAAGAAGAGTGACAGGGGCTGTATTGACAGTAATATTAGGGAAATGGAAAGCTTAAAAGCAACATGGATAGAATTTGTTAGCAAAGATATGGTAACATTTGATTCAACAGAATCTATGGCCTTAAATAGAGAAGAAAGAAAAAATAGGATTCATCGAGCTAACTCCAAGTAGTTGGGAAAGGCTTTACTGACTTTCATAGACTCTCTGTTGTTGGCTCAAAAGAAATATTCATTTATTAGGCTGAGTCTCATAATTTGTTTCTCATTTTTATCAATAGTTATTGGTTTCCATTATGTTAGATTTTTGTGCATATTGTACATGTATTCTATGCTTGTGTGAATATAAGTGTTTTGAGTGTGTATATTTGCATGGAAATAGGTGTGCATGTTGTGACACGCTCAGATTAATCCTGTTTCTGTAATTAAATGTAAAGTTTTGGTCCTACAATAAATCTTCGTTAGCTTGGAGGCAACTGATTGTTCTTAGTTTTTGGGTGTGACACCATTTTGTTTGCTTAGAATTGAGATACAATAAAGCTGTGTATCAGAGATCTGTTGCTTCTATAAATAAACATGCAGTTGAAATTATGCAATAACTAGACCATTTCCATTTATCAAACTTGTTTGCATTTTCAGGTACCATTGTCAACTCTACACAGCTATTCGGATATATTCCTATCTGAATTTGTACTTTAGACCAAAAAATGTCATGGTTTAGGAAATCACCTGCCAAACATTCAGATGACGAATCAGATAAAAAGCGAACCTCTAAACCCACGAGAACTTCTTCTGAACCTGTGCTCATTAAGCCAGATTTCAATGACGATACGTCAGCAGCTAGAAACAAAACCAGGAATGGTTTCCGCAACAAAGAAGAACTGGACATGATGTCTCAGCAAGAATTGGAGGGCTATGCTGTGGACAGGGCTGAGGATACTACGAAGTCCGTCAATAACTGTCTGAAGATTGCCGAGAACATCAGAGAGGATGCTACAAGGACCCTTGACACTTTGCATGAGCAGGGAGATCAAATCCACAGGACTCACCAGAAGGCTGTTGATATTGACCAGGATTTGAGCAAGGTTTGTTTTCTCATTTTCTCTCTTCCATTTTTTCTTTAATTTTTGCAAAAAGAAAATATAGGTCAAAGTTGATTATTTCCAGTTGACTCTACCACTGCATCCATTAAACTTGCATGACATTTGGATTCTTTGTCCTACTGCATCCTTTTATCTAGTAAATTGGATGCCTTGAATGAGGAGCTTTCAATTGAAGAAAACTCATTTTCATTCTTCTGATCTGACTTGTGGATTGTTCCTCAATATAGAAAGCCTCGGCTCTCAATCCATGCTCCAAAAATAAATTAAAAAGAATAGGAGGTCCATCTAATGTGGTATTTACCTTAACTGGACTGTCATTTAATGGTGTGTCCATCTAATGTGCAGTTCATTGTGTTTTTACTTACCGTGTGTCCATTATTCTGATTTTTGTTCTTGTTCTCTCAGTCTCTCTTCTTTTTGTGTGTGTGTGTGTGTGTGTGTGGCTTTTAGTAGTGATCAAATAATGGTATGTCCATCTAATGTTCGGTTCATTGTGTTTTTACTTGCTCTGTATCCATTTTTCTGATTGTTCTTGTTCTCTCAGTCTCTCTTCTTCTTCTTTTTCATTTATTTATTGTGGCTTTTAGTAGTGATCGAAACAGTCTTCAGAATCATATATTGTTGAATATCAGGGTGAAAAGCTGTTGGGAAATCTTGGTGGCATGTTCTCTAAGCCGTGGAAGGCAAAGAAGACACGTGAGATTAAAGGGCCTGCAGCCACAACAGGTTTCCATACACCCCTTTCTCTCCTTAATATTATTGACAATGTAATATTTATATATGAACTTGAATATAAAAATATGACAATTATATGTCACTATTGAGCCTTATAACTTGGTGATTACTCATATTTGATTTCTTTGGTTTGTTTGACAGATAATCATACCAGAAGGCACAATTATGAGGATAGGGAGAAGTTGGGTTTAGCTCCAGTACACAAGGGAAAATCGCGTACCCCTCCTCCTGAACCAACAAATGCCTTACAGAAAGTTGAGGTATGTGGTTATGATCAAATGACAGAGCAAATCATGTCAATCTTTACAAACATATATCTCATTGCTAATTATCTGGGGTTTTCCAAAATCAGATGGAGAAGTCAAAGCAAGATGATTCACTTTCAGATCTTAGCAACATCTTGGGTGATTTAAAGGGCATGGCTGTAGACATGGGATCTGAACTTGATAGGTCGGTTGTGCTTGTATTTATCACTTGCAGCGCATAATTTTTTTCTTTTTTTTATTTCTTTTTTCACTTTCTGATTAGCTTTAGAATTGGAGGATAAAGTAGTTTCTCATCAGTTATTTATTTATTATTTTTATTTATTCATTTTTTTTTTCCAAAAATATGTTTGGTTTTTAGCTTGGTTGGCCATGAATGGAAGTGACCTTCCTTTTGGTATATCCGCATAGGGCATTGCACGGTATTCAAACCAAATGTTATAGGCACCTGTGTTTTTTTCCCCCCTGAATTAATAGGCCTCTGTTTTCAGATAAACAAAATGAACTTTTGAATGTAATATCTAAAGCTATTATCTAACATATATACATATATATGTCCTGCCATTTTAAGTACGGTTGATATTAAATGTATTATGTTAAGGTATAAAAGTAATAAGATTTATGCAGCAAATCTAGGTTTCTCTTTAAAAATCACCAAAAATACTTCTGTTACATTATCCCATCCCTCCTTTTTTGTATATCAAGTTATTTTGACAGTGATGAAGATTCAAATGTGCAATTTACTGACTTTTTTTTGTTATGAGAGTAATGGGAAGGATTTATGTTCCTTATGCTGAACGACTCATTCCAATTTTAATGTTCCTTCTCTATTTTGTTTTTGCCTTGTTTTGTTTTTTTTTTTTTTTTGTTTTCATTACTTTTGTGTTTATATATTGTTCTAAGAAAGATGCAAAATGCAGGCAAAATAAATCTCTTGATCATCTACATGATGATGTGGAGGAGCTCAACGAACGAGTGAAAGGTGCCGATCGACGTGCACGTAAATTGGTTGCGAAGTGAAGCCTTGTTTCAGAATACCAACTTGCTGAACTTCTGACTCTGCATTCAACTTCAAACCCGTTTGTTCGTTTCAAATTTTCTTTTTTCCATGTAAAATTTATCAGTATTTTCATATGGTATATTTATCCTTTGATTGTTTTACATGCTACAATAAAAAAAAAAATTGTTATCCTAATGATGTGATGTCAATTTTTTTTCTTCTCTCTCTCACTCACTCACTCACTCACTCGTGAACATCTAAAAGGACTTGGTAACTGCTAAAATAGCTCCATTTTTGAGCTCTATACTCTTCCTCATTTACTTCTGCTGTGAGAGAAACTAGCGGTTCTATTCCAAAGGTGAAATTCATCACTATCAATGATAACTTTACGTTACTATTATTGTGTGAAATGGGTGAAATTTAAAATTTGTTACCATTTGCTTCTGAAGTGAATTTTATATCATTATAATAACTAGAGTTATCATTGATGGTGATAAATTTCACCCTAGGTTTTAGATCATTACAAATCTACAAGTTACTTGTACAAATGCCATGGTTAGGGCCCTTTTATATTCCAACCTGCAGTACCTAGCACTTAGTTCTCGCTAAAAATTCAAAAAAATATTACTCCTAAAATAAATTTATTTTTTAATTACCACCTAAAAATTTTGGTTCTTAAAAATTTAGTACTTGATTTTCTACCTTATCAAAGAACACCTTACTACATGACAGTGCGAAAGTTATGAAGGTTTAAAAAAATAATAATAATTTTAAATTCACAAGATCTGCCAGAAGGAAGGAAACAGATTGTTGAATTCTATATGTAATCTACCAGTTATATAGGCAATGGAATCCTCATAAACGTGCCAATTTGGCCCCATCTCTGAAATTACGATAAAAAAAAAAAAAAAAAAAAAATTCAACACTGTTAATGTGAAAACACAAAACATGACCCTCAAAAATGGAATTTAACCGAACCACATGCGTCACGACTCACAATCAATAATAAATATTGGTCATTGTTCATTAGCCTAGAGCGCTCAAGTGTGGAAATAAATAAATAAATAATGAAAAATAATTTGCAAGTGGAGTGGTATCCAATACTCTCATATGGGATTTCCACATTAGCGTAGGTGGCATTTTCTGTTTTGCACTTTACTTGAATTTCACCTATATATATATATATGAAAGCATATATAAAGGCTATGATATTAATTTTAAGTCTGAATTATCCCATAGAGCTAGTGACACTGTTCTCAACCATAAATTCTTACCGTTGCATTAGCATATGTTATGACTTCATATCATATACCCACTTGAGTTGAGTTGAGTTGAGTTAAGTTGAGGAGCTGTTAGAATATGTTGTATATTAGGATTAGAATTAATACTATATAAAGCTACCATAGGATTAGGATTACTTATTCACCATTGTATGGTAGGATTAAAATTAACATAGAGTTACCATATACATATATTTGTTTCCTTATCCGCCCCACATAGGTAGCTATATAAACCCATACAAACACTATATATGTGGAATTTGACTATATATATGACAAGACATGTACTACTGTGTGCGTATATATATAAATATATACATATACACATATATATAACGCGTAACTATGCGTGACTTCATTTGATGAGAAGATGGTGATTGCCGACTGCCGAGTGGTCACCACTGTCTTCTTGACAATCTAACATATATTTGATCATCATCATGTGTCTCTTGCCACCTCTCCTATTATAAACTCACCACCACCATAACCCCGCTGCCTTCTTGATCATCCACCTCTCTCTCTCTCCTCTCCTCTCCTCTCTCTCTCTAAACACCTACACCATGAAGAGCTCTCCCTCTTCGTTCACCCTCTCCAGCCACCGCCTTCTGCTTCTCATAACCAATTTTCTCCTCCTCATAACCATTTCATCAACCCAATTCCCTAATCCAACGTCGCCGGAAACCGCCGCTCCAAGGCGGCACCACCACCACCACCACTACCACTTCCAAAACCCACCTCCTGTTTGCTTTCAACTTCAAAGAATCCGCCACTGCACACCTCTCCCGCCGCCGCCTCCGCCGCTGCACTCGCTGCCATCGCCGGCTGACGAGATTGATCCAAGATACGGTGTAGAGAAGAGACTTGTCCCCTCCGGGCCCAACCCTCTTCATAACTGAAGAAAACCCATTTGTTATCATCCAATTTTCTCATCAACATGGGGCAAGAACTTCTCTTCCTTTCATCATTTGGTTCCATTTCTTGGCATCTTTTCATGAACCAAATCTTACCCTTTTTTTTCTTGATATATCTCTTTAATGGTCATATATGATCCCACTACGACCAGAAAGTTCTAACGTCATTTGTTTTCTTGATATTGCTATTTCCACGCTTGTTTTTGGGTTTGAATCTCTGTGTTTCTAAATCCTGATAATATGGGGTCACGTGTGGAAGCAGCAAAAACAAGCGTGGAAATAGTATAATGCAGGTGGAGTACTTTGTTTTGTTCAATTTTGGGTGGGGCAGGTGGAGTTCAAGAGAAGCCTATGAGTTTCATTAATTTTGGGGTGGGATGCCTACTGGGTTTGCGGTTGGTTTTGTTGTGAGGGTAAAATAGTAAAATCGCCCCTTTTTTTTTGGCCCTGTAGACTTGTAGTCCATCTATAATAAATAACATATTCATGTATAGTAGCTCTTGTGATGTGATCAATGAATATCAATTAATGTCTTTGCAGAGTTCACGCTTCTTTAGATCCAGATTGCCTTTTTATTTCTTTGGTGAATGCAAGAAGAGTTACTTTTTTACGTAGTATTTTGTAGTAAGCATTAGGTATTAAAATGAAAGAAAAAAAAAGTATTTATATATACTCCATCGGTATCATAATAATTGTCTATTTTTTTTTTTTTTTTTGAGTTGTCCTAAAATACTTATCCACTTGCCAAATTTAAACAACATATTTCACATCTTTCCATAAAATACCTTCAAAATTTTAAAAAATTTCAAACTTGATTATATATATTTAAACTTGAAAGGGTATCTTTGTAATTTTTAAAGGGGACAATACAATAATTACATGTCCCCTTAAAAAGTTCTACTCCCCAAAAGAGATATCTATTATGGGGATGGAGGGAGTAATAAAATTTGCAATTGTTTGTGTTTGTTTACAATAAAATATATACACATCATTCTTACGAGAATTAGCAACTGCTTTTGCTCGCAGAAGCAGTGTTTTCGCTTTAAAGTGTGTTCAACACTATTTCGAAACTTATTTGGTAACATAAATTTGTTACAAGATTTTTAAAAGAAAAATCATGAAAACATGTTTGGTAAAAAGTGCTGCAAGTTGATGTAGAACTGATTGCTATTAGATTTGCTTTTTTTTTTTTATATTTAGTAGTTTTTAGTAATTAGGTTTCTTTCCTTATTTTTACCGAATATTTAGAGTAAGTTTGTTTTTGAGCAGTTAGTTTCCTTACTTTTTTAAAATTTTCTTTATGCCGTTTCCTTAAGCTGCTAGTTTTCTTAAGTTTTTAGGATTTCTTTCATGACTGTTACGGTTTTTATTTATAAATACATGTGCTGCAAATCATTTATTTAATTATCAAATAATATATCAGATTTTTTTTAATTATCTTTTTGTTTGTGGAGTCAAAACACTCACATTGTGAATTCAAGGTCATCACTAGGTCACAAGTTTGAAAAATGATTTTTTTTTTATTATTTTTTTTTAACAGTACTTTTTTAGTGCTGAAGCAACCAAAAACATTATGCTTTCGATTTTGGCCCTTTTTTCGAAAGCATTTCTGTACTATTCAAAAAAATAGCAAACTATAAAGTATATTTCGTGCTTTGCTACGGTCCACTAACAAGAGTAAAAAAACACTAATTAAAAGCAGTTGCCAAAAGGTTACTAGTCATAATTTTCTGGATGGTTACTTTGGTGAATTGTTTATGGTGTTCAATTGTACGATGCCAACGTTGCAACCGTTATCGTATAATTTCTTGTGCATGTGACACCTCCCTAATTTTGGTGTGACGTGGCCTTGAATCACTGATCTACATTTAATGTCACAAATTGAGCAAAATCCAACACAACCACATTTCCTGACTTCCATGTCTTACTTTTTGGTCAAAATTGCTTATGACAGACCTTAGGGCACTTTGGCGAGTTCCCAACCAAAGTCATGGGCACATCGGCGTGGAAGGAAACCAGTCAATGGACAGAAAATATACTAAGCTAACAAACAATGAAGCAACATGGGAGGGGTCAAAAATGATAGTTGATGGGCTTTACAGAATAGCTCAGCTTTCCGAGCGATATATCCGTATTCAAGTATGATATATTTTTCAATTATTTTTATGTATAAGATTCGAATAGAGCAAATTTGACTCAAGATTCATTTTGATGCGAGTTTTATTTTAATAAAAATTGGGAACAAGCGGAGGAAATATTCCTAAAATATATTTTGTCTAATATTTTTACTTTCTATTTTAAAAAGTATATAAAAAAACCTCCTTAATCTTTTCACATTATGTAAAAATACCCCTTTGACATAAATTAGTGTTGTAATATTCGTTTTGTCCTTTTACTCTTCTGAAAATATCCAAGGAGATATATATATATGCTACTAATCTCATAATATATAGGTGTTGTGTGCACATTACATTTTATATATATATATATATATTTTGAAACTTTTTTCTCTATATATATATCTCTAAACCTTTTTTTTTTAAGGTTAATTTCACTGACATCCCCTCAGGTTTGGCCAAATATTACCTTGAAATATCTTTCGAAAAATCCTATCACTCGCACCCCAAATCACATTTTCATCAATGACACCGTCAAAATGTGTGTAAAATAACATTTTTACCCTCATTTTTTAATACCTTTTAATTTAAAATATCATAATTACTTAAGGACGAAATTACCCCATTCCCCTCACAGGTCACTCACACACTTTCTTTACTGGCACCGGCCACCTCCCACCACCACACCACTATGATGAATGGACCTTTTTGCTAATATATCTCTTCTTTCATCTCCACCACCTAATTCACTAGTTATTGCTCTTAATCATAAATGAATTTTTTTTTTTTTTTTAATTATTACTATTTCTTTCATAAATAGTTCTTCTGGTTTCTTTTTCTTTCCTTAAAAGGATTTGGAAAGAAAATGAAATTTTGAGAAAACTCGG